GTGGTACATGCAAGGTACTTGAAATACTAAGACTCTGGACGCTGAGAGACAGAGCAAATAGATCATCGTAAAAATTTTTGCAAATGGTTTCCATGCCCTTCCAATTTGTTGTCGTCTGTCCATTATGAACGCCAGTAGAATATTTTGGCGCAGCTGTACTTCTCTTCACGCTCTTTTCAAGCTTGTTCCCTGCTCTACTGCCCCTTACCTCCTCCTTTCGGTAATTGTAATCTTCTATCATTTCTCCTTAACATTTTGCATAGAAGTTTATACTCCAGATCGACATCGCCTTTCGTCGCCATTTCTGGTCTTTTTCGGAGAAAATCAAGCGCTTCATGTCTGCTGCATTGACGTCATTTATCTGAGTGGCGGTTTTACATTCAATGAGTTCGCCAGAACATAAATCTAAATTTATGTTGTTCACGGTGATTCCCTAGTTTTCACGTACAAAAGCTTGCAAAAAGAGGTCTTCTGAAAACTGTTTCAGCCTTCTACTGTAAATATTTCTCTTCTCAATCTTTCTCATCTTATTACAATCGAATCTGATCGGTTTTCACGAGATGGTGATCAGATGGACCGAAACTGCTGATTCCGGTATGACAGGGACATCTGTAACCACTCGCCGTTTGTCATCAAGGATGTAATCGATTTCGATTTTGTATGCGTTGTTGGACGGAGTTCGAGCAGTAGAAGGTCAACAACATCGTCGCTTCTTGGCTCTCTGAGGTTTAACGCACCAACACGCACAAAAATACCTATTGACGGTCTCAATACTATGAGATTCTTAACACCCACTGCTCCATCGTCAATTCCTCCACCATCACCATTGTGAAGGCGGCAAGAAGCTGCGCAGGACTGAAGGCCGTTTCTCTTGAAACTTTCTTACACAGCTCCTTCGAGGTTGCATTACCCGGTGGCCATCCTTCTGACGATCCTGGTTTTTACGCGTTTTTGCATCTAAGCAATGCAGAAAACGAGCATTGGCGAGGGGTTTTCTGCATGTTCGTGCGTCTGCGTGTCTGTGTCTGCGCCTGTGCCGATTTTTCATTTCAAGGCATATAAAAACTATAGGGCTGAAATTTGGGAATTTAATCTACTTGCGCGTACGGCACAATCCCCAAAGTGGCCGCTCTTACCCCAAGGCATCCACATTATTGCGGTTAAGTCGCTAATTTGGGAACCAGAAAAGCTAAAAAGCTGAAATCTTAAGGGGATGTTCCCGTCCAAGTAAGTCTTAATGGGCTCCAAGCCAGTCCCCGGGTGTGCGTGATATCCACGCATGGACCCGTCAAAGTTCTTCTCGGGTAAGCTGCTAACTCGAGAACCTGAGAAGCTAGAAGACTGTAATTTTAAAAGAATGTTCCCCGTTTACGAAAGTCTCAAAGATCTCAAACTCACACATCAAGTATCCATGGTGCTCACGTA